GAAGGAAAACGTCTCTGGTGCCTGTTTAGTCGTTCTGGTCGAGTGGTTTTCTTTTATCCCGTGCGGTTCGAGTCACTGTTATGAAGAACGTGTCCGAGATTTCAAAACGGAAAACTKTGTGTCGTACGTTAGTACCGTACATTACGATACGTTCAAMTCATTTCAACCTTTCAACTCACCTCGACCTTTTCTGCTCACCTCGAACGCACCGAACATCAACATCAATTCGACATCATCACGCAGTTCGCGCATGGCACCTTTTGATTGGCTGATACCTGGCACTTGATGTTCTGAATGAAACGGCTTCGACATGATACACGCATTTGCGACTCCGATTAATAGTACGGTACGTCAAATGCTTTCTCAAAAAATACGGTTYTTTGTGTCTTGCGGCATCATCCCACAATCCGAAAGCAACAGTCATTAAACTGGGAGATCAGCGAATAACAAGAATAGCTACCGTAGACCAAGAACCTCGAAATCAAGATGGATTACGACATGGATATAGACAGTACAATGAGCAGCATAACCGATAAAGTTTCAGAGAGTCAAGTTGAAACTTTCYGCTCGTTTACGGCCAACGCCTCCATCAGCGACCTGATCATAGGCCTCGCCTTCAGCGCGATTATATTAGTGTGTGGAGTTCACATGTCACAGGCGTACAGTCGAACGGCCGCGGAGGCCGAACGACATCGTATTGCTCAGATTGCCGCAGCCGARGAGAAAAAGATCAAGGACGCAGAATCCAACAGAGTGAAAATAGCCAAGACCATCGAGAGCTGTGCGATCCGTTTGACCAACATGACAACATCAAGCCTATCGCTCTCTCTATCAAGACACARAAGCATTGATTGGGATAACGACAACACAAAGAATAGAACACTTCCAACTGGGAGTTCCGACAAAGACGAGGAAGGTCAAAGTGGTAGTTTTACAACAAAGACAATTTGTTTAGAAGACAACGAAGAGACCGATAGTGACATCGAACAACCATGCGAAGGATGCAACTACGAAAATGAAATGATAACATACAATGATTCCATTGAGTGTGAATCTGAAACTTTCGCAACGGTCGATGAAMACCACCAAGTTCAACAAGCATCGTCKTTGCCTTCCACGAATACAATAATAAGTTCCACATTGATGGATGCCGTGACGAATAATCCATGCGCAATCTGCTTGGAAAACTTCCGGCCAGGTGATGTCGTCATTTGCTGTGCCAAYAGTATTAACGGGAAAAAACCACATGTTTTCCACCAAGCATGTTCTTTGGACTACATCGTCTCACACAACGATGGGATAAAAGCTCCTTGTCCTTGCTGCAAAACATCATTCCTTCCGACAGACTCTGAACAAAAAAAGATACTCAAACACTGTCAGCCTTCAGTGTTAATGATACCGCATTTAGAAAATCAAGAAGACTTTGATATGGAAGATAACGGCGTTTCGAACACGGAATAATAACAAATGCAAGGCGTTTTGACCCGTTCTTGAATTTCATTTACAGAAATTCCATTTTACTCTTCCAACAAAACGTAGCTTAATGTTTTGTTGCAACCACCTGCTTCTCTGTACACATTTCAAGACATGAATAGTTCAAAGGCGAAATTATTTGATATCCACTGAAAATAACACGATGAAATGCCACATTACAAAAACAATGGCAAGCTATGAAATTTTGATCACACTGCTGCAGATGCTGCTTGAGTCACCTTGAGCAATGATGTACGCTTTCGAAATCCATATTCAACAGAAGTCAGACGCACTGTTACAATTGATTGGACCATGCAAGATGGCATGTCTTACGCAGTCTCCTATCGTGTCACCAAATAATTCATTTCAAATTTCTGAGTCAAATTAATCCTACATTTTCGTTCAACCTACTTTTACGGAAACTCTGATTTGTATCTGTAGATCTGTAGATGCAGATTGAAGTTTAGGTAGACAGTCTTTTGTGTTTGCTGTTGTATGGTCTTCTATTCGAATTTTCGATTGTTTTTCACTTYTCATTCTCCTCGTGAAAATACCCAATAAAATTGACGAACGAATACGACGATTCACTGTTGGTAACGTACTCGTACCGGTACAGAACGAAATCRTACTTCATCACAACTTGACGCCTACCGTACGTGCGGTAGTAGAATTACGTCTTCGCACCATAAGACAGTGATGCGTACAACTCATGTTGTGTATTGTGGTCGTTTTAGAAGTACGAAATACTTCACTAGATGAAATGCCAAGAGTAGAGAATCGATTGCACTAGCYGCACGCTCGAAAGAAGCGAAATAGGAATGCACTGAAGCGCTGTGCCACTATCACGAGGCGATATCTTAATGGGGTAGAGCGAGTGACTGTTTTCTGTGCATCAAAACAATCTCCCGGTTGGAGTCGAGTCGAACGTTTCCTCAAGAGAGGCAAAAAACGAACGAATATATCATATTGAATGCGTGCAAGAGATAGAGACACACATTAAGTTGTGAAGGTATCTGGGGTAGGATTAGAAATCACGCAAGGGACAGCAGAGGCATTGTATCGGACCACGCCAGAATACACCTCAAAGGCAGCTTCTCTATCTTCCATGTTATTTGGTAGCATTCCGGATCACATCTGGGACGAGGCAGCGACAAGCCTCCTCCACAAGGGAGTAGCTACTGGTACGTTTACGAATATTAAATGCTTCGATTTGGCTGATATTGAACCTCGGGCGATACCAACGATGGAAATGCCAATTTCTGCTTTTTACTTACGCAAGCAGTCGTTGTTTTATCTTACTTCTATTTCATTTTGAAGTTCGACTCTCTGGAAGATTTGATGAAGGAGAAACATTCGGATCTACACAACCGAGTCAAATACACCGCAAGGCATTTCGATCGGCTCGAAGAGTCTTGGATCAAGCTCTCCATCCGGATCGGCACGGAGCAGAGGACGAAACARTACTCGATATCGACYATAATGGCAATGCTGGTGTTTATGGCGAAAAACTTTGTTGCCCGCTATTGCCGATGATTGCACCCGATGCAGATTCGGCACACGYGACAGGGTTTCACTGGGCTGGTGGAATGTCACGRTACAATGTACAACGAGAGGGCATAGTGTTTTCCGACGAGAACTGTGTTGGTTGTGGCGATACCGACCAAACCAATCCACAAAGCTTTCATCTCCATGTTCATCACGAGGAYGATTGTTATTTGAGAGATTTGTCTGGAATGTTTTGCAGTTTGCACAGCATTGCCGACAGGGTTCTTTTAGCGATTGAAAGAAAATTAGAACTGCCTCTCTCGCTGTCTCTCGCCGAGCACAAAATTGACCAATCGCAACCGATATCTGATGACGACGGGTGGTTTCAACGACATCTGGGACCCACAACAACAGCTAGCCAGTGGCATATGAAGAGGTTTGTGAAGGAACAGAAGACGAAAGACGAMRAGGGCAATGATTGCACAGAAGACTCAACRAAGACTTCGCCTTTGATGTCAACTTCCTTGCTAAATGAAAACGGAGAAAGAATAACCTTGCCTATGCATACAGATCCATCCTTGATTTCGGTCGTGATTCACGACATTGAAGAAGAAAACAGCGATGARCGTCCGGGAGCTCTAGGACTTGAGTACTATCATCCAAAGGAACATTGTTGGATAGARCCCGAAGCCCACGGACATTCGGTAGCAACAATTTTTGTAGGTTCCGTCTTGGCGTATTTGACTTCGGGACAATTTCCGGCCGCCAAACACAGAGTTGTGGAAAAAGAATCATCTAAATTGCAGAAACAACGAATGGCTGCTACTCTGTTTGTGAGGCCGCAACCGTCGGCACTATTGCAAGTTCCCTTACCCAGCCCATGGTTACTGAAACGAATCGAAGAGGAGCAAGAGGAGCGTCGACGACGACAAAGAGAAAAAGAATCAAAGAATAGCACATTATCATCGAAAAAGTTGAAATCCCCTTCCTCGAAGACTCCCATTACATTTGACGCTTGGYTGAAACGAGTAGCAAGGAATTACGAGAAACAAAGAAAAAAGARCAAAAGCAAAACGAAAATAAAAGAATGACCTTGCACTGCGGCTTTTTCATCTCATTCAATACAAGCATCCTTTATGAAGAACATCCAAAGGAAAGGGAAACTCAAAACTTCATTCATCTGAGGGTCGTGAATGGGATTCGAAAAAAAAGTTCCTGTACGCATTAGTCGCTGGGTTTTCTCAAATGGGTATTTTTGCGTCATCCATAGTATATCTTCTGATACTATACGAATTGTGAACAATGTTTGACGAARCATCAAGAAACGTCTTCTTGACAAAACTTTGGCTTTGTTATGATACATGATACGGTTGACTAGAAATCAGAGAGAATTTAGCTAAGTTTTGTTTGTTTGCAAGATCAATGATTAATGTAGCACCCTTCGCAAAGTACATACGTAGTGTATTACTCGTACGTTGGACGAAGAAATTTTACAAAAGTACGGTATTTATTTCCTTGTTCAGTCACATAGTTTCAGTCACTCACCCACGGCACAGAAATAGCTGCCTAATTTAGTTCTTCGAGCAAGACTCACTTTCAACGTCAAGATTTGGAAGAGCTCTCTGTCGATCGTCATTATTCGTAGCTGTACRTTCTGTACTCGTACCAAAGTACGGCATTGCACGACCGTTGCTGTAACTTTTCGCGTTCGGAGCAGTCATTTTCTTTCCTGCTCGAAGACGAATCCACGGAACTGTTGGCCGTTCACCGAAAGCAAGAGCTCAATTACACCAATWATTCGAATCTCAAGTAGAAAAAGTTATCAGCACCCATCGAAATAGGTTCCGAATTCCAACATCTAACTCATTTCGCGAATAGCTCTTTTCTTGTTTCGAAAGAATCCTCAGGACCAAACACTATCCCGATCGGAATCCAATTCGATTTCAATCGATCGCAACACACGAMCCCTTTGAAAATATCCTAGGATGACTAGCTCCAAGGACGATGCCACCACATCGTCGGGCAATGCTGCCAAATCAAATACAAGACGGATCCAAGCACTCGAGGCTAAGGCCGTCGCAGAGGCCACGGCCGAAGCCGACGCGAAGTATATCCCATCGGTCGCTTTGATGAACTCAAGCGATCCGCTCGCTTTGGTCCGCCAGGTCGACGGTCTCAGCGATCTATCGGAATACGAAGAGAAGGAATCAGTCTACGTCGGCCGAAGCGTGCCGATTTCGGCCGGTGGATCCCTCGAAATCCCCATCCAGGTGGCCATGCCCGGAAGTGTCGTCGAATACGCGGTCGAAAATAAGCAATACGATTTTGGATTTTCCATCACGGCCGAGCGCGATAATTCCGTAACAATTGTGAAGGTAAGCAGTCCCGTTTAATTTCGTTGGGAACATAAGACGAGTGAATGGAAATGCAGACATGAGGAAMAGAAGAATTGTTTCAATTTTTCCTATCCGTATCTTWMGTCAGTAATTGCGCCATAATTTTGTCACCAACTCGACGTGTGTTTTCAATATCGCCCGGTTGCACTCCTCGCCTTTGTATTGGGTGYGTGKGTGCGTGTGTTCGACCTATCCGCTGACCTTACATATCTGTRAAATTGCGTTTCYACTCGTGGACAAATTGGCCAAAAATCATCTCTGATGTACAACAAAAATTATTGTCACAACTAACAAATTACCATGAAAGGAATCTTCCCGCGTGGATGCTAGTGTCAACGGACCCATCACGGGGAAATTTCTGGTTGGCTCCGTTCCGTGCTGGGTGCGGTTCAAATTCGCCAACGATTTCTCGTGGATGCGCGAAAAGGTTATCTCGTACAAGGTGACCGTCAAACCRCCCAGCCTTGAAACCCTTTATTCCGGACGACGCCGGAGGGCCAAGGCTTGCCTCAAGGCAATCGAAGAGGACTTGACAGCGGCCGACAAGCGCCGAAAGGCCGCTGGAGACCAGCTGACTTTGTTGGAAACGGAATTGGAGGAACTRCGTAGRGAGGTGACCCAAAAAGCCAAGAGCCTCCAGGCCGCTAGGGACGAAGAAAAATGGTGCATGGACCGGGTGGCATTGCGAACAGAACAAAAGAAATTGCTGGATAGCCGCCTTCAGAATGGGTGGGAGGACGAAGAAAATGCCGCAGGAGATGAATCAGATGAAGAGTAAATGATWTCTATTGGACACAGCACGAACAGTCCCGAAAATGCAAACRCCACGGAAGAATTACTAAWTTGAATGTTCAAAATGTGGTCCTATGGGATGGAACGATATTAAATGTGGGAAGGTAGCTTTGAAACGCATGACTAGACGGATGGATGATCGCTTCCAAAKAYAGAGGCTTTCTACGGCTTGTTCTTTTCTGAGTCTCTGGTCAATTAAATCGACGTTTTAAAAATGGGTTTTTCAGTGTAACATGTCACGATGGAATCCATCTCTAGTGTTAGCAGGTTCGGATTCTCCCTGTTTTGTAGATTGTATGGATGCATGGTAGACAGTGGGAATCCAGTTGTTGGTAAAGTTTATTCGTGTGCCCTTYGTGGTTGTCGTTCATGTCGCGGGAATGATATGGYATGACTTTATATTATCATATGTATTATACCTTAGTAGAGTAAGATAGCTAAACAAGATATATTTGGATTTTGAATTGTMTTGAATGAATTGGTTGGACGCGTGAAAAAAGGAAAAGAGGGCGGCATCACCCGAAAACTAATCCAAAAGAAAGCCGCSAAATCGAGGTTCAACGACTACTACYATTTTTTTTTGGAGGTGGTGCGTGCGGTAGCCGTACCGGCACGTCATTGACAAGGAACCTGATACGGAATAGCACTTCTATTGTAAACCAAGCGTCTCTCTGTGATCGGCTCCCGTAAATCGAACGWACTTCGCAATCAACAATCAATACGATGGTATCGACTTCGGCCCAACCAACGGCAACACRGCCGGGGCTCCTCGTCCTCGTCCTCTTTYTGCTGTCGGCTCCGCTGCTTGCCGCGGGATTTCGTGCCACCACCACCGGCGTCACCAGCCTCCGTGGTTCGGAACGGACGAATACCTCCACGGCGTGTTTTTCCGTAAGGTTTCGCTGCGGGAGGCCGGGGGACGAACCGGTGATTGCCCTCACRATGGCAAGGGAGCTCATGAACCCGCTGGGGATTTCTCACCGGAACTTTGTCGTCGCCGAGGACGCCTCGACCGGCGACCGCGTCGGCTGGGCGCAGATCCGGCCCCTCGGCCCGGCCGGGGTGGATCCCTCCGAACYGAACAGCCCGCCGGGATCGATGAAGCCGGCGTCGATCGGGGACGCCGTCGACGAGCAAATGTGGGAAGAATTCGAGGAGGATCCCAGCGCCGGCTTTGGGGACGGGAGGTGGCAGTCCACCCTCCCGTGGACGAAGGAGTACAAGCAGGCCTTTGCCTCCGCGGCGGAGCGCCGGGAACGCCGGGCCGAGCTCCTGGCCCGGGAGGAAGACGCCCGGGCGGACCGGCCCGTGCCCCGGCTGTGGGAGCTGGCCTCGGTCTACGTGGTACCCGAGCGGAGGTCGGAGGGAATCGGGAGCGGCCTCGTGAGGAGCGTCCTGGACCAGCACAGGGAGCTCGGGCGCGCCAGCGAGGCCGTCTACGCCCTGACCCTGTCGTCTACCGTGGAGTGGTACMGGTCGGGCTTTGGGTTCGTCGAGGTGGAGGAACCGCGGGAGGTCCCGAAGCCCATGGCGCTGGAGGTGGCGGCCGGAAGCATCCTGACGAAGCTCATGGGGAACGAGCTGGTCTGTCTGCGGATGCCGCTGGAGCAAATGACGGGGTGAGCGATCGGGCAAGCCCCGAATCAACACCGAGGAGGTTTCTGAGCACGCCACCGGACCAATCCGGAACGCAAGCTGTCCGTCGTGGCGGGAAATGGGTTGCCAAAACGAAAGGGAAAATCGGGTCGACAAAACTCCGCCAAACCCGCAAAAGGAACGACGAGGGACGGAACACGAAAGGTTCGAGAACGACAGCAGTGCGCTTCCGTTCGACAACTACAGAGCGGGAAATTTTTCGGTCGGAATTGCTGCGATTCCTTGTCGAGACGAACGAATCCGGCAAGCGGAGCGATCGTTCGTTCCCCCTTCTCAGATCTTTGCGCCGCCAGAAGTGAATACTGCGGTGCCGTACYAGCAACAGRAAAAACAGTATAGTATTCGTAGTTATTTTAATTTTCTTTTTCGTGCAAGGTGYCGAAACACAATGGCAACRGTGGTGCAACGATCCTCTTGTTTTGACTCTCAAACGCTCCACCGCCGCTATGATTCGCTCCTTATCTATCCTCCTCTACTCTTTAWAGTACAATACTACGAGGACAAGCTAGGACCGTGGTGTCGCACCCAATCMCTCCTGTGGTAGGCGCAACAGGAACAAGGCGAAACGGCGGCGTTGCGAYGCAAGGAAGGGTTCCGGCAGCGGTGGCGATGCCATCCGGGGCGCGCCCGCGAATTCGTTCCCTGCTGCCTCACGCCCAGCGAGCCGGGGGGAACGAACGGTGCGGCACGGGGAGGGGGGGGGGCGATGCTTCCAACTCGCTCGCTCGCTCCGAAGCAACGAATGCAATGCAACGCAATGCGACGCAGCGCAGCGCAGCGCAACGCGGGGCAATCTCGCCCTTTTTTACCAAACCCGAAGCATTTCGCGGTGCGACCAATGGCAACGACGATGCTCGGTTCCTTCGCGAGACGAGGGACGGAATGCAGGTGCAACAAACTCCAGCGCAATATCACCACCGACACCACCACCCTACGGTACGATGCCATACAAACTTCGAAGTAGGACCAATGACAACGACGGTTGCTGTTGAAGTTGAAGTTGCGGTTGCAGTGACAGTTGCAGTTGCAGTGGCACCAGCAACAATGACAATGACAGCGAGAACAACCACTTCAACGACGATCCACCTGCTTTTGCACACTCTCACCCGAAGGGGTGTCACGGTTCGCGGGAGGAGGGTGATGGGTGTCACGTCACTTCACTTCACATTACATCACGGGCTCCAAAGCTCCGTAAGGTTCCTTGCCGTACCGAACCGAACCGGACAATGCCAATGCCGATCGATCGATCAACGCAAATAAATCGCAGATGYCAAAGAAGAACTGCGAACGGGTGTCATGGTACACTTCATTGTTCCACGGCATCAAAACGCCATCAAGGCCTGTACGGAACGGTACATACCGTACGATAATACTCCCCTCGAAGTGAAGCCCTTTGCCGAACCCAATGCCAATGAYGGACAGATGCCCCACGTGCGCGGAACCCATAATTCCTGGCATTCCACGGGAACGGGAAGCGACAAAATTCACGATTCGAACCCGAAAGATAAAAACAGATTCCTCGCACCGGTGTAATCCACGGGTCGAATGTACGGTAGAATGTACGTACCTTCCGTAGATTCTTTGTATGACGCGGTCCACGGAAGAAACCGCGGTGAGTCATKTTCTCGGAAACCCGATTGAAGCACACTTCCCCTCCCGGCCAATCGGAATTCCGAGCACGGAACAGCCATCTGCTGGTCTTTTTTGCGCGATTCTGGTTGGCCCCCTGTGCGTCACCTTAGAACGCAATCGACGACGTCGACACCGATCGGCTGCCACAGAACCGGCAGTTGCACTAGKTTTCGAACGTGCACCAATCCCAAAAAAGGATTCCGATGGAATTTTGTCACCTTGCCGGACCGCTTCACAACACACACAAGGCATCGTTCGCGTTCCCGCCTGCCATAACACAAATGCACGAATCCGATCCTCCGATACGGTACGGCAATTCSATGCGCTAGTGGAACAAGGAGCAGCCGGCTGTTGTTTCCGGTTTCACGACACSACGCCTAGATATTGAAACAGCAACCATTATTGTTTTCCGTTGCGCAACCCTTCACGCGAACCAATCTCCCCAAGGATCTGATCCAGCGCAACAACGGTACTCGGTACCGTCCAGCAATACGGTACCGCAGCATTGTTCTTCCGTACCGTGCCGATGTACTCGGGTTGATTCATATTCATTCTTCCCTTTCTCCACTCGCACAATCGTAGTTGTTCCGCAACCGTCGCGCAACTCTCATACACAAGGAACCCGACACCGGAAWAGCTTCCAATCGCGTCAGCACAGCTTGGCTTCACCCAGGGTTCCAATCCTCTCACGAGCTGGCACATATAAACCGAGACAGAAAGTTTTCGTTCCTCCATCGAATCTCGAATCCAGACTCACAGAATTCTTTGCCCCTCCGTGTCGGTTCACTTCATCCCGGTCGGACCACCAAAAGTTCTCGGTTTTGGATCCGCTGGTCTATTCGGTGTCAGTCTGTCGATCAATCAATCCATCGATCAATCAGTCACTCAAGTCAATCCGTCAATCAATTTTCGTGCAACACATCAAAACACAGCACAGCACAGCACAGCACAGCATCGAAGCCTCACTGCAAGGCTACGAGGCACCAAAGGGCAACGAACCAGAGACAGCTAGAGCAGGGACACGCCGAGCCATGCCGGCGGTCGCCATGACGAACGAACCCGAGTTGGTGGATCCCACCACACCGAAGAACGAGGGGATCGATGCCTGTTCCAAGGGCACGCGAGCGATCGGGGACCTCGACCTCTCCTCCCTGGGRATCGTTGGGGGAGCCAGCGGGGACGAATCCTCCTCTCCCCTCTCCTCCACGACGTGCTCTCCCGTGATTGCCCGGATCCCGCTGTCGCCGGCTCTGGAAGAACCAGCGAGCAACGACTGCTCGCTCCCCGTCTTCCGAGACGCCGATCGCCCCGCACCAAATGTGATTGCCAATGCACATAGCAATGCGAATGCCAATACCAATGCACATAGCAATGCACATAGCAATGCGAATGCCCCTGGAACGCACAACACCAGGGCAAGCCCGCAGGGACGCTCCGTCTTTTCCCGGTACTGGAAGAAAACGGGGCAGCAGCCCATACCCCTCCGATCGATGAGATCCGTTGCCAGCACCCGCGAGCCCGGGTCTCCGGCGTTKGCCGTTCGGGGTTCGCACCCTTCTYYCCCCGGGCGTCCGCGGAGGCGCAACGATRCGGAATGCMACGGGGACGACCCGGTCCTCCGCTGGGCATCGAACGCGGACCTCCTCGAGATGGACGAAGCCGGAGGAGACGACGATTCCTGCCGGGGCCGCCCGTTCGGCCGCGGGCATYCCGTCGCTTCCKGMGCSG